ATATATACACACACACACACACACACACACACACACAAACACACATTTAATTTAAAAATTATATATTTTTATTTTTTAATGGATGACATTACACGGGAGGCATGGTTTATTACGGATATTCAAATCTTTTATCAAAATATAACAAGTTTCCTGCTTTATTAATTAAAAATCATTTTAAATGTCAAGTTATTTAAATAAGATTTCTAGTTGTTGTTGTTGTTTTTTTTACACGTTGACTCTTTTTGATCCAATCAAGAGGACAAATCAAGAGGACAAACATTAAAATGTCACATTTTTTTGTGAAAGATTTAAGTTATGAACCAGAAATTTACCCTTGGCCAACCAACCTTCCTTTTCTGGTCAACAGAAAGAAAATGTATTTAGCAGCTTAGAGGTCAAATTAGTTGAAAGTCTTAAGAACAATTATGGCCAAGAAGACTCTCCAGTCACTAGCATATGGAATGAAACCATGACCAAGGTAAGACTAGCCCTCATGTATGTCAGCTGAGTTCGATCTAATAAATATTACAGTTTTCATTTTTATGAATTTTAGCTGAATTGCTGTGGATACAAATGCTATGATGACTTCACAAATTCACCTTTTGTAAAGAGGAACTCAGAATATCCCAAACAATGCTGCAGTAAAGATTCAAATTCAAGATGTGGAAAACAAGAAGCTATGAACAAGGTACTGCCTCATTGTGCCAAAAATACAGCAAAAAGATGATGAATACATATTTTCATGAAGCTCTTTAATTCCTGTTATAGAAGATGGAGGGCTGCTTTCATGTGCTGCTTAATGAAAATATACCCATATCTGGAGCTTTGTTATTTCTGATCGGCATTCTACAGGTAAATAATATGTGACTCTTGAAATACCCAAACTTTTAACAATTAGAAAGACAGAAATGTTGTTTTTAATCATGCATCTTGTATAGTTTAGTAATCCCTATCAGGAATGATGGATCTCATGGTGTTTTGAGAGAGCATTATTGATTCAGTTACTGCAGTATCATTTCCCTGAAGGCATCATACTCAAAATAATAATCACTTCATGACGACGTGTATTTATAATTCAATTTCAACCCTGTTTTCCAGATTGTTGCCTTGTTCGGTTCGCTGAAAGTCTACCGATGCTTGAGACGCTTACCTGATCTCCCAGACCCTTTTTGAAAATAATCTGTGATAAACGACTACTGCTTTGGGTTTTTCTGAATCTGTGAAAGTTCTTTGTGCTTTGTTATTGCATTTGCCTTCAGAAAATATTCAGATTTTTCTATGAAACGTGGTGTGAAAACAAAGAAAATAAATATCAAGAAGAACATTGCTTTTTTTTTTTTATTAAAAATATCATTTACAATTATCTCGAGAAATGTAACAGTTTCATTTTTCAGTGTCTAACAAATATTAAAAAAAATGTGCATAATGGCTCCTCATTTCATTCAATAAAACTGATGCTTCTTTTTTAATAACTTGACTTACTGACAGAACAATATGATGATTTAATAACAATGATTAATAACCTTGATAATGAGGTCATGAAACATTTCTGTAAGCAAATCCTGTTGTGGAATAATTGAAAACTGAATTAAAACTTTTATTAAATGATATTAACCAGAGTTCTTTCTATTCCTGTTGTAAGACTACAAACTTCATTCTGTTGTAAACTATATAATATGAAGAATAACTGCATAGCTTTATTTGTTTATTAATATGTTGTTTCTTTTTTTATATTGCACTTATGGATCAAAAAGCACCAGAAACCTTACAATGCTGCAATACTGCCCACATGAGGATCATTTCCATCCTTACAGTTTGGATCACTATCAAGGCTAATAATCATCTGAACGCTATTATTCATATTCATAAGAGCATTGCCTGTGTCATATTTATTATTTAAATTATTGTTACTGTATATATATTCAAATGAGATTTCTTTTTGTCACATGTTGCTATTTTATCTAGACATGCACTCGATTTATTTTCAAGAAACTAGAAAAACTAGATCGATTTCAGAGCTGATTATCATTGTTCTGTCACATGATTAAGTCTAAAAATACAGTTTAAAAGGTCAAATAATCTTCAGACAAGAGCATCCACACTTTGATCGAATGTATTAATATAAAAGAATATAAACGTGGGAAAAGGTGTATTTGGTCACTGTTTGACCTTACTTCCTGACCCTGTGACCTCTGACCCTAAACCTACACACTGACATTGAGTTTGACCATTAGAGGGCAGCAACTGTGAATCTGCCAGCATCTGCTTTCTTTCTGAATTCTGTGGGAATGTGGAGACTTCAAGCGATGGGACAGTCAGTAAAGACACCGCTTCTGCTTTGCTGTTGGTCGGTTGTGGTTTTGGGGTCATGACCTTTGCCGGGTCACTGATAGGCTGAAAAGAGAAGAAGTCAGGTATAGAGCGGTTGGTGGCGTTTGAGGTACAGAAATGAGACTCGACTCGTCCCAGAGCAAGAGGACTCGTCCTCCCTGCAGATGTCTGTGCTGTGGGTGGTGGGATTTTTGGCATTTGTGACTCTTTTTCCATCAGCTTCTCGTCTTTCTCTTCACCTCTTCCATCTGTCTCACCTTGCGTGTGGAACTCCACACCGGACAGCGGAGGACAGGTGCTGATGAGTCCTCCACAGCTGCAGATGGTGCTCTGGGTGGTGTCCAGCATGCATCCGGCCGTTCCCGTGCTCCTCCCCACGCTCTTCTCTTCCTTATCCTCCGCGTCGGAGAAGGACGGGTCCGGGTTGACGGAGCGCGTCAAACGCTGCAGCTGGGCGGAGGTGCGCCGTAAGGCTCCGCCCATGAAGCCTGTGGGAGAGGGGGCGGAGACCAGGAGCCGGTTAAAGAGGGCGAGGTTATGATTCCGTGTCACAGATTCCTCCAGGTTTTCAGCAATCTCCTCCAGAGGCTGGAAATGCATGCCCTCTTTGGGAATTCTAGGGATTTGAAATGTCCCCCCAAAAAAGTTATTTATTTATTTTTCATAATTTCAGAACATTAATATTGTTTCAAAGAAATACACAACAGATGTTTCTAAAAGGAAGTCTTTCACCAAGGATGCATTTATTTAATAAAAAAATGTAATAAAAACAGTAATATTGTAAAATAAACCAGATGTGCTGTGGAATATGTTTATATATATATATATATATACATATATATATATATATATATAAAGTTGAGATGAAGTGTCTGGTCTGAAAAGATCAGTGTATTTGTGTTTGGTGAGCACTGACGCCATGTCGAAGGTGGAGCCTTGGAAAGAGGGTTTGCGCAGCACGAAGAGCGTAGCGGCTGTGTACGGCGGACGAGGATTCGAATCATTCCAGTAACGATCTCTCTCCATCACGGGCAAATCTCCATACATCTCATCCACCGCCATCATAGACACCTTTCAAACACACGAGCATAGGGAACGACTCGGTGTGAACGAACATTCAGGGGGGTGGGGGGGGGGGGGGGGGGGGGGTTTGGGATATTAACTGTGTTCATATTTCGCATTTTTGAGTTGCCATCTCACAATTCACTTTCTCCCATAATCTGGGGTCTCTATCTCACAATTCTTTTTTCCCCCCTCAGAATTCTAAGTTTCACAATTCTGAGTTTTTTCCTCTGAAATTTAAGGCGCACCTATGTTGTGGATGAAAAGATCTGTCTGTATCACATAATGCGTATTTCATATAGGTAAGATATAGGTATAAACTGAAATATAAATAATTCTGAGAAAAATAGTCTGAATTGCGAGACGTTAACTCAAAATAAAGTTAAGAAATAAAGTCTGAATTGTGTTGTAAACTTGCAATTCTCAGTTGGCATCTTTTAAATTATGTTTTTTTTAATTGTTTTTTTTTTTTACACAATTCTGAGAAAAGAAGTCAAAATTTAAAAGATGCTAACTCAAAATTCTGAGAAAAAAAATATCAAAATTTAAAAACTGTTAACTCAAAATTCTGAGATTTTTTTTTTTTAAACTTAAGAGATGTTAACTCAAAATTCTGAGAACTCAAAATTCTGAGAAAAAAAATATCAAAATTTAAAAACTGTTAACTCAAAATTCTGAGATTTTTTTTTTAAAACTTAAGAGATGTTAACTCAAAATTCTGAGAAAAAAATCAAAATTTAAATGATGTGAACTAAAAATTCTGAGAAAATAATTCAAAATATAAAAAATGTTAACTACTCAAAATTCTGAGAAAAAATCAAAATATAAAAGATGTTAACTCAAAATTCTGAAAAAAAAAATCAAAATTTAAAAGATGTTAACTCAAAATTCTGAGGAAATAATTCAAAATATAAAATATGTTAACTCAAAACTCTGAGAAAAAATCAAAATATAAAAGATGTTAACTCAAAATTCTGAAAAAAAAATCAAAATTTAAAAGATGTTAACTCAAAATTCTGAGAAAAAAAATTCAAAATTTAAAAGATGTTAAGTCAAAATTTTTTGAAAAAAAATTCAAAATATAAAAGATGTTAACTCAAAATTCTGAGAAAAAAAATTCAAAATGTAAAAGATGTTAAGTCAAAGTTTTTTGAAAAAAAAGTCAAAATTTAAAAGATGTTAACTCAAAATTCTGAGAAAAAATCTAAATATAAAAGATGTTAACTCAAAATTCTGAAAAAAAAAATCAAAATTTAAAAGATGTTAACTCAAAATTCTGAGAAAAAAAATTCAAAATGTAAAAGATGTTAAGTCAAAATTTTTTGAAAAAAAATTCAAAATATAAAAGATGTTAACTCAAAATTCTGAGAAAAAAAATTCAAAATATAAAAGATGTTAACTCAAAATTCTGAGAAAAAAAATTCAAAATTTAAAAGATGTTAAGTCAAAATTTTTTGAAAAAAAATTCAAAATATAAAAGATGTTAACTCAAAATTCTGAGAAAAAAAATTCAAAATATAAAAGATGTTCCTCAAAATTCTGATGAAAAAAATACAAATTTAAAAGATGCTAACTCAAAATTCGATCCAAATTTAAAAGATGTTAACTCAAAATTCTGAGAAAAAATCAAAATATAAAAGATGTTAACTCAAAATTCTGAGAAAAATATAAAAAGTTAGAAGATATCTCAAAATTCTGAAAAATTCAGAATTGCAAGATGTTAACTCAGAATTTAGAATGAAAACTCAAATTGTCGAGAAATAAATTTGAAATAAATAAATAAATATAAATAAATAAATAAATATGCATTAACAACAGTTACAACAAACAGCTACTTCTGTTACTGTTACTAAATATTATGTGAGTCATGACTTGCCACTAGTTTTAAGTGGTTGCTAGGGCATTGTTTGGATGTTCTGGTTTGTGGCTATGGTGTTGCTAGGCTGTTCCGGTTACTAGTGTGTCTCTAGAGTGTTGCAATCTCCCTTACCTGCTTCAACGACGTGATCCATGGTGGGTAATCTCTTGAAGACAGCCGTGCTGACGGAGCGCAGGATCAGGAGCGCGGACAGACTGGCGTAGCGCATCAGTGTGCGGCGTAGCAGCCTGCCGTGCTCGTCCCCGCCCTGAACGCCCCCCGAGAGCGTGCACATGATCCTGTCCGGCAGCGGGATGGAGGTGTACTGATTCCACCAGCGGTTCACTATTAATGTCACGTAAAACCCTGCGGTAACATAAAACAAAAACAGGTTTTCTTGAGAATATATATATATATTTGTTGTGTTTTTTAAAAACGAATTGACATCATCCTTCCTAGACATTACGTCATTTTTGGCGGGAAAATAACCAACAAACAGCAATGATGAATCCTGTGTTTAGCTGTATTAGCTAGTTTGTTTAAAACACCATTTTATACACTACTTTTCAAAAGTTTGTGTTTTTTAAATTATACTTTTATTCAGCAATGATGCATTAAACTGATTAAATGTGACCGTAAAGGCTTTTAAATTGTTACAAAACTTTTTTATTTCAAATAAATGTTGTTCTTTTGAACTTTCTCTTCATCAAAGAATTCTGAAAAAAAAACTAAAACATCATGGTTTAACACTGAATTCTGGTTGCTGAAAATTCAGCTTTGCATCACAAGAATAAATCATATTTTAAAACATATTCATAAACAAATCAGTTATTTTAAATTGTAATAATATTTCACAATATTACTGTTTTTACTGTATTTTTGTTCAAATAAGTACAGCCTTGGAGAGCAGAAGAACAAAAAATGTTAGTGTGTAAATGAGGGCTATGTATTCATCGGATGACCTTAAAACATGTTCAGCATGACTGAATTTAGTGGTTATACTGTCCCAGGATGTGCGTGTACCTAATACGAAGGACATTGGGATGAGACTGGCGTAGTTGTTGCAGTAAATGGAAAGCTTTTCAAAGTATCTCTTCTGATCGTCCACAAGGAAGAATCTGGAGAAGAAAATGACAAAAGTAAAGTATAACTCACAATCAAAGCATCAGATGAGGACATTATCACAGCCACGCACCTGTATGTGATGCTGATTGCCGTGTACATGGCGAAGAAAGCCAGGAACTCTTTGTACAGGACCTTATAGATGCTTCCCTTCCAGGCCAGCAGCAGTTTGGAGAAGCCGCAGAAGCGTGCATTGGCCACTCTGGCGGTGTAAGTGACGGTCATCACGCACCACAAACTCAACGGGTCACTGCTTCCTGACAAAACCAAGGACGAAGAGAAGATTAGTGGAAGTTCAGGAACACAACACAGTCAAGAGTCTTTTTTGATATGACTAATTTATATAATAATAATCAGAGTCCATTAGAGAGTCGATGTAAGATCCACTTCCTCAGGCAGGGGGAACCCGCAATGCATACCAGCAAGAGACCACCCACCAAGCTATTAACACCAGGGGTGAGGTGGAAGATGGAAGTAGACCTGGGAAGGCAGCTCCAGTTCCCACAGTATGCGGTCAGGTTTAGGCCTGCCTCAGGGAAGAGGACGCCCCTGCCATGCATAGTCCACCATAGGCACCGTAGGAGGTGCGACAGGCCTAAGGTCCAGCAGAAAGACCACCTCGCTGTAATGAATAATACATTTTTTAAAATAAATTACAAAAACAAAGAAAGCAGGGGGAAAAAAACACTTTCTAATAATACAAATAATATAATGCTGAACAGATGAGTAGTTCATTCTCATTGATCTGTGAATATATAAGAACAAATTTTAAATAAAAGTTTGTCATTTGACTGAATTTTTTTTTATTATTATTATTTTACAAAACTGGTGTCTAATAATCTGTGTAAATGCATGATAATCATACAATTTTTAATTTTGATTTATTTTTAATTCTACATATTATTCTCTTTTTTAAATCTGTTTTAGCAAATGTATTAACACTAATATATATGGGCTGTCCCATTTAGGCGACTGCATCAAATTAAATTTACAAAAGTGAATTTATACACACAGAAAGCATATTAAATGCAAGTTTAGTGTCTACTTTAATGTTTCAAATAACTTTTGAGAAAATTAAATGTCAAAATATGGGTCAAATAATATTCCATTGTCATTCAGAGTAACATATATTTATGTAAAAATTAAACAACATACACTTCTATATATGTTAGTATTTAAAAGCTGCTTGTGATGGGCTTTGGCTCATCATGTAACTTTCTCATCACCACCTGCATTTGGAGGTTATCAGTGTATTACAAAAGTACAAAACAGATTTCAGTACTTCAATAGGTTGATATATTAACATTATATCAGTTAATGAAATTACGGTATTTAACTGTAAATTTAAGTTAAAACCGTAAAACCTAAAATGTTGCTACCGTATTTGGTGTCTAATAATCTGTGTAAATGCATGATAATCATACAATTTTTAATTTTGATTTATTTTTAATTCTACATATTATTCTCTTTTTTAAATCTGTTTTAGCAAATGTATTAACACTAATATATATGGGCTGTCCCATTTAGGCGACTGCATCAAATTAAATTTACAAAAGTGAATTTATACACACAGAAAGCATATTAAATGCAAGTTTAGTGTCTACTTTAATGTTTCAAATAACTTTTGAGAAAATTAAATGTCAAAATATGGGTCAAATAATATTCCATTGTCATTCAGAGTAACATATATTTATGTAAAAATTAAACAACATACACATTAAAATATATAAAAGAATAAGTGATCATACTAAATTTTATTATATTTTAAATGATTCAAAACCTCTTGCTGACAAATGGGTGATATATTAACATTATATCAGTTAATGAAATTACGGTATTTAACTGTAAATTTAAGTTAAAACCGTAAAACCTAAAATGTTGCTACCGTATTTTTTACGGTAAAATTCCGGCAACCACAGCTGCTGTTTTTTTACCGTAAATTTTACAGATTTTTTTTTACAGTGTAGTGGTTTAAAGGATGGTGGCAAAGATTTGTAAAGATTTAAAATTAATTCATATTAACAATTCAATTAATTAGACAATTAATTCATATTAATTATAGTCTTTTAATGCAATCTAACGATTCTTGATCTAAATATGCCTGACAAGATTTTTGGTATACAATTTATTGTTACACTGAACGACATTTTTTCTGTAAATCATGGCAAAAATGTATGATACTCATTATTTTTTGCTCATAAAAAAATTTAATTAAAGAGGACACATTCTAATGTATGAAAAAAGTATTATATATGATTTTATATTAGATTTCTTATTAAATATCCCATTATATTGTTAAATATATATTATAAACATATAACTATAGTTTCAAGTTTGGGATGTCTTTTTGAGTTTTTATGTATTTGGCTGAGGATGGCATAAAACTTTATGTTTAGTGCACATGTGAAGATATCCTGCTGTGGATCTCATGGGACAAGCGCTTTGTCATCTAAAATATACAGGTAAATGTGGGCATATATGCTTACTTCCAGAAAAACATGCTGAACTGCCACAGGTGTTTATTTTTCCACGCGATTTCACAAACAATTACGCACAAGAATCATTTCTGCCCTAAACTCTTATTCAGTAACCAACATACATTGTCACAATACTGTTCCTTTAGTATTGTATTTACAATAAATAAAAGTTTATTTATTCAATCAACTTTACGTAAACATAATGTAACTATAAGTGTTCTTACCTTTTCTCCTCAGCCTCAGAGGAATAAAATATTTCACAAGATGTTCCAGAGGAGCTGCATGTTATGTGTCCAGACAGGCTGTCGTTCATTCTGTTCTGCCAGGAGCTTGAGGGTCAAACGCACCTCCTTCATGAGTTTAAGAAAGGCCATCATCTCTGCATCCAGATCTAAGATTAGAAGCAAATGCCACATTATCTCTTCTTTGCAAAAACTCAGCTTACAAAAATGTAACTGTATGTGTGAATGTGCAGAGGAGGCGGGACAAATTGTCACAGGGGCTTTGACTTTGTAACAATGATGCTCAATTGCACAAATGTTTTTACTCTAGCAGTTGTTTTTTTAAGATAGTGTTGAAAACTGTTTTAAAGTAGGACATTTCTTCTTGAATTATGTCCTTGACATTTTTTAATATTAGTATTATATTATTATTGGCATCTCTTGGGTAACAAGTCAAAGGTTATGTAGCCTATAGATTAAAGGTAATTTTCCATGTCAAAAGTTGCCTCATATTTTTTTTATGATGTTATTTTTTTAGTCAATTTATTACAGCAGAGCAAACCGATGTTTGAAATTTTACATCTTTTCAGTGTTTGCTGCTTTATTAAATGTTATAGTAGTTTTACTATTGAATTAAAAAGCCTCCAAACAGTCTATAAACTAATTTAAATATAGATATGTTGAGGAAGATAACTATTATTTCATGTTTCAAACAAAGTGTTTTTGTGAACTATATGTCCTTGAAATTAAATGTTCATTATTATTATTATTTAATTAATTAATTTATTTATAATTTATTATTATTATTTACAAAAGTTGTCTCATGTGTTATTTTTATACAGTTTATTACAGCAGGACAATTTTAAAAAATTTTGTTTTATTAATTTTTATAATTGTTTTACTAGGCCTATTTAATTTCAAAATGACAGCCTCTAAAATATTTAAATACGTTGTTGTAGAAGCTAACTTTTTAAACTTTATTTCTTTAGGCCAGGGATCCTCAAATCTGGCCCACGAGATCCACTTTCCTGCAGAGTTTAGCTCTAACCCTAATCAAACACACCTGAGCATGCTAATCAGTGTCTTCGGGATCATTAGAAAATCACAGGTAGGTGAGTTTGATCAGGGTTGGAGCTAAACTCTGCAGCGCATTGGCCCTCCAAGGCAAGATTTGAGGAAACCTGCTTTAGGCTATTTCAAACACAAGCAGACTGTTTTTCTCAAAAACTGATGATAAGCAGCACCTTACTTGTGACGTTTTGACATCGCTATCAAAAAAGGTCAATGTATGCCAAATTAACATTTATCAATAGAAAAGTGGAGGAAACGATCAATAACATTTTGTAGCAAAGACTTTAAACTATTTATCTATAAGCAAAACGAACTTCAAAAATATATCTACTCGATAGGCTATTCACCACACTGAAAGTGTGACAACTAACCCCGGCGGTCTGCTCCTATATTCTTTGGTGTTGCTATTGCATACAGACAGCAATTGCATAGCGCTCTTTGAGGTGGTACATGACACTGCTGGTCCAGCGGTGCGTGGAGAGCGAGGAGAGCGTGGAGAGCCGTGCTCGTTAGTGCAGACTCCCACTGCGCCTCAGCGACCTGACGGATGGAGAGCGACAGCAGGCATTTCACACTGCCTCAGCCAAACCACACACTGCCAAGAAGTTCAACGAGAATGCATTAATGCAGAATATACATTCATCTTACCATAATGCAGGTCATTGACTCTTCTGAATTTATGTAAGACATTAGCTGGTAACATCACAAACAGGAACAGTCAGTCTGTTCTCTCTTTTAGTCGTCTGAATACCTGTGACATAAAGGCATTGTTCCGGCGCTATGGGGGTCTTGTTTGTCCCGGTTAGGGTCACGGATGAAAGGTGGCCTCTGAATCTCTGCAAAATACAGAAAGCGTGCCGTGTGCCTCTGGACTTGAACTCTTCAGGGCTTAATACTAAGGGACAAATCCTTCACTCCAGAATGACATACTGACTTACTGGAAAACATCTTAGTGACTTAGTGGAAAACATCATCCTGATTAAACTATTGAAATAAAGGTTCCAAAGGGCAATTTTGTAGCGATGCAATAGAACCATTTTGGGTTCTCCAAAGCAGCATTCAGGAAACAGTTCTTAAAATAACCTTTTTTTGTAACTGTAAGGAACATTTTGTTCAGGTTCCATGGATATTAAAAGTTTATGGAACAATCAATATGAGTGGAGTGTGAATGATAGTTATTCTTATACGTGGGATTAAAAATAAGTTATTTTGTAGAGTGCCAAGCTGCTCTTTTCCGTATAGTGAGTCAAAGACCAGGCTGTCATTCTCCACACAGTGCCACCAAACAGTACCATAAATGTGCATTTCATGTCTTTTGAAGCTGTACAATGGATCTGAGGAACGGAATTAAATGCATGTTATTATTTCTATTTGAAATCGGAGAAAAAAAAAACTTTTACATCAAAACAATAACAGCTGTATGGCTTTTGAAGACATGGAAAATACAGGTGCATCTCAAAAAATTTGAATATAGTGAAAAAGTTATTTTTTTTGTAACTTAAGTGAAACTTTCATATATTCTCGATTCATTGCATGTAAAGTAAAACATTTCAAAAGTTTTTTTTTTTTTTGCTTTAATTTTGATGATTTGAGCTTACAGCTCATGAAAGTCAAAAATGCAGTATCTCAAAAAATTAGAATATTTACATTTGAGTTTCATTATATGACCATCCCTACAGTATAAATTCCGGGTATCTCTTGTTCTTTGAAACCACAATAATGGGGAAGACTGCTGACTTGGCAATGGTCCAGAAGAAAATCATTGATCACAGAAGGCCATTACTGAAAGGGGTGGCTGTTCACAGAGTGCTGTATCAAAGCATATTAAATGCAAAGTTGACTGAAAGGAAGAAAATGGGTAGGAAAAGGTGCACAAGCAACAGGGATGACCGCAAGCTTGAGAATACTGTCAAGCAAAGCCGATTCAAACACTTGGGAGAGCTTCACAAGGAGTGGACTGAAGCTGGAGTCAGTGCAACAAGAGTCACCATGCTCAGGTGACGTCTGCTGGTGTTGGTCTATTGTGTTTTATCAAGTCCAAAGTCAATGCAGCCATCTACCAGGAGATTTTGGAGCACTTTATGCTTCCATCTGCTGACAAGCTTTATGGGGATGCTGCTTTCCTTTTCCAGCAGGACTTTAGCACCTACCCACTGTGCCAAAACCACTTCCAAGTGATTTGCTGACCATGATATTACTGTGTTTGATTGGCCAGCCAACATGCCTGACCTGAACCCCATATATAATCTATGGGATATTTTCAAGAGAAAGATGAGAAACAGTGGATCCAACAATCCAGATGAGCTGAAGGCTCAATAGTGCCTCAGCAGGGCCACAGGCTGATCACCTCACTGAGGCTGGAGTTTGTGCTAAAGGAGTCCCGACCAAGTATTGAGTGCATCAATGAACATACTTTGAAGAACTTGAACTTTTCTGTTTTGCAAATCCTTTTTTTGATTGATCTTAGGAAATATTCTAATATTATGAGATACTGGATTTTTGACTTTCATGAGCTGTAAGCTCTAATCATCAAAATTAAAACAAAAAAAACTTTTGAAATGTTTTCCTTTACATGTAATGAAGCTAGAATATATGAAAGTTTCACTTTTTGAAATAAGTTACAAAAACAAATGAACTTTTTCATGATATTCTAATTTTTTGAGATGCACCTGTAGTGCACAAGTGTATGAACCATTTTTAAGGTGCTTTACTTTTACTGTTCTGAAAAAAAAGAATACTCTGAAAACCTTTCCTTTTATTCTCCATGAAAGAAAGAAATTCATTTTGGTTTCCAATAGCATGAATTTTTACTTTTAAGTGAACTGTTCCTTTAAAAGTTTGGGGCCAGGAAGATTTTTATTTAGAAAGAAATTAACACTTTATTCAGCAAGGATGCATTAAATTAATCAAAGGTGACACAGATATTTAAAATCTTAAAGAACAATTCTATTTCAAATACATGCTATTTCCATTAAATTAGTTTCCACAAAAAAATGAAGCAAAACAACTTCTCAAAATTAATAAATTTTTGACGAGTTTTCCACTCATAACCTTTAATGTCCTTAACCCATGGTTCTGCAGTAGGCTACTTTTTTGTTGTTGAATGATGTTTTTCAGTGTTCCTCTGCTGCAGTGTTTGAGCCTTTAACTGTTCAGCATTTTGCACGCAAGATGTTTAGATGCAATGTAAAATGTTTTAGCCTTGGTAGAAACAAAATTTTCGCATTCACATAAATAACTGAACAGAAACACCTTCTGCAGTAGATGGAGGTTTTATTTGCTTTGAGACTTGGTGTGCTTCTAGAAAAAGAAGCCAACTTTGCAAAGGCAGTAACAAGTTATAAGAGAACAAAGAAACTTTAGCAAAACCGACTAAGAACTGATAAAAGATGCAAATCTTTCGGTCTGATATACTGTCGGGTTTGCAAGTTCTTGTCCCTGGTTTTCATGAACTAAGGAGGCCACTGCTTCACGCCGTGAAACCACAGGATGATAAAAGAAGGAAAACACACTTAACCAGCAAGGTATAGTATTGTCTAATAGTCATCTCGGCTGACAGGTTGCAGTGTTTTTTCAGTGGATTTAAACAAGCTTCTGATCCTGTGTGCGTGTGCATTCCTGTGTTTTGATGCATGCAGACATTACTGCCAAATGATAAGAAGAACAGAAGTGAGAGGAAGAACAACGCATCTACATATGCTTCACAACCCAGAACCAGAAACAGACGTCGCTCAAATAAATGCTATAGACCACGTGAACAGAAATTATCTTAATCATTACAAGTCTATATAAATGCATCGCTTTAACTGCAAAAATTAAATTAGATAAATTGAATCACAATGTTTGTACACAGTAATTACATTTGGTTCACTGCAAATATTAGTCGATTAAGAATAAGTTTAAAGGCATAGCTCACCCAAAAATGAAAATGTAGTCATTATTTACTCACCCTTGTTTTTACAAGCTTGTATGTTGTTTGTTATTTTTGCATGAAACACATAAAGAGAATTTGGAATTGCATTAAAAGTCAAGGGTTTGGAACAGCATGAGAGTGAGTAAAAAAAATGACAAAATTATCTTTTTTGGGGGTGAACTATCCCTTTAACTCATTAAATATGCATCATCCCCCCATGTTTGGACCCTCTCATTGAACATCAATACTGACCAGGGCTGCCTTTCCCAAAAGCATCGTAAGCCTAAGTTGATTGTAGCTCCATTGGTGGCAATGAGTCTATGATGTACTTAGGCTTACGATGCTTTTGGGAAACGCAGCCCAGATCAGGAACTAAAATAAAGTCTATTAATATTGACCAGAATCTGAAACAAAAGATACTACTCATGTTCAACCACTGAATCAAGAGTCCAGCTGTACATTCCTGTGGTGATATCAATATGAATCTCCTTTCTTAAACACGCATCAGGAATGAGTGTTTCTTAAGCTTAAATACATCATCACAAAGCAACATAAACCATCAAGACTTTGTTTCTAAACGGGCCGTTTAACTCTCAGCCGACATTCATAACGGATCACTGGAGCAACATGGCGGCGTCAGTTATGACATGACCAGAAAACCAGAGAGGAGAGAGACAGCGAGAGGGGGGAAGTAAAGGTGTGGAGATGTGAACACCAGAGGGATGCGTGCATCAGGGACGAGGGATGCGATGGTGTGTGTTTGATCCGTGGAAATCATTTCAGTCACTTCTTGGGCGGGCTGTAGGGCTCCAGCAGCTGCTTGGAGAAAGTATTGACCTTGTCCGCTCCTCGAACCTCGTGAGGCAGCAGAGGCAACTTTACTATGTGGAAATCTTCATATAAATCCTCCATCTGAGAGAGAGAGAGAGAGAGAGAGAGAGAGAGAAGAGAGTGGAAAGAAAGACAAGGAAGAGAAAAGACAAGAAAAAAAGGGAAAGACAGGACAATAAAAGGGATGAAAGAAGGAAAAGGATAAAGAAAAATTGAAAGGATTAAGAATTAAGGAAAAACAATGAGGTAAAAGAAGTGGGAAAGGAAAGGAAATCAAAAGAAAGGAACGGAATGGAAAGGAAATCAAAGGAAAGGAAAGGACACATCTGCAATGGTTTGACTGGAAGTCATATATTTTTTTTTTTTTTTAAATAAACATTCACACTTTTTCTGTAAACTTTTATACATTTCTCTACCATACACTTGTATATTCCACTATTCTCCAGTGCTATTTTACAAACACAGCAATTCCCAGAATGCAGTGCTGATACCTGTGAGATGAAGGGGCTGATCTGGTTCTTGATCTGCATGAGGCGGCCCAGTCCTCTCTCCACGATGGTGGGGAAGTTGAGCAGACGCAGAGTGTGTCCCGTAGGGGCCGTGTCAAACACCACCACCGAAAAATTCATGCCTTTCACTAACCTACACAAGAAGAAAAAAAAAGAGAATGGGATAAATGAATAATTTTTTTTATTACTAATAAATTAAAATAATAAAATTAATACGTTTTATATAAAATATATATTACTTATATTACATAATTA